CAAGATGCTGAATTACTGTGCATCTCAACACTGGGGGAGGAGACAGGATGTCTGGGGCACACATCACTGCCTACCTAGATCACTGGCGCCCAAGCTCAGAGCCTGGCCCTCACAGAAGCCCTCTGCAAGGCATGCCTTCCCATCCAACTCTGCTTCAGAGGAGAGCAGCCACAGCACCACAGTCCTGGGCAAGTCTTAGCAACACTGTGGCTTCAGTCTCCTGTGAGCCTGGGGACCAATTCTGTCCCTGGTACCGCCACCTGTGGCCTGACTGGCTGCCCCATCAAAATTAAGTTTCTGAACTTGAGCTTTTTTTTTTTTTTTTTTTTTTTTTTTTGGTGTTGCTAGGGATTAGAACCCAGGACCTAGTGCATATAAGGCAAGCACTCTACCAACTGAGCTATGTTCCCAGCCTAAACTTGAGCATTTTTAATTACAATACCCCCACTTTTTTTTTTCTGCACAACTAGAAGATCTGATCCCAAACCATAAGACCTAACCAATGAAYACAATGTTTTTATTTTCAACCAAGGTGGACAATTATCGCTCCTCCTGCTAGCCACTTGCATGAATCCAGCTAGGATGAGAACCAGGAAGGTATATTAAACAGTGACCAAATTCTGGGAGCTTACATTAAAATACAAATCTTAACATTATAAAAAACTTTTTTCTCTAAAATATTAACCTAAAAATTATTTTTTTAAATAATAAGTCACAACCATGTGTTATTYCTATTAAAGGAAATAGCATTGGTTTTTCATTGAATGCTCCCAGCAATAAGATGAACAGAATCTGCTCTCACTTGCACAGCTTGAGTATGAAGCCATTTTTTTCAAAAACTTTGAGGAGTCTCATTTTTCCAGAGGACCAGCCTACGGACAACTCTAACCTTCCTTTTCCTACGGACAACTCTAACCTTCCTTTTCCCAAGAGAGGGTCTACAGCACCCCGGTGGGCAGCACCTTCTCCAGCATCAGCTGTCCTATGTGGGTTCTGGCGCATCAGTGACCGGGCATGGGGTTTAAGCAGTTCTCCAGCAGGACTTTCCTCAGCTCTATGCCAGGCAGCAGCCTGCACTTTGTGGAGAACGGCCACTGTACGATGGGAAGGAATAAACGATGTTATTATGAAGTGGGAAGGATCTGGGGGAAACTGACTTTGTAAGTGATCCATGTGGCAGAAAACATTTGTGGAGTGGGGTCATTCTCGCTTCCACTCCAACAATCTACCTTAAAGGCCTCCGAGAATGGAACCCAGAAAGCAAGATCCACTTGTGCCATTGAGAGCCTTGGAGGCAGATCTCACAATAAGCTCGCCCACCAGCATGTCCCATGATGTTCACAGAAAGACAGAGAAGAGGAAAAAGGCAATTGGAGTGCTGACAGCAGGCCTTGCCAGGCCTTCACCTTGCCTCCCACTCAGGCCTCCCAGGGATGTTCCGCGAGAGGTCCCACGGCTCTACTGGACATCCTGTAAAGTCAGGTTACAGTCATGGAGGCAAAAGAGGGATTCCAGTTGCCTCACCACGTACTGACTCCCTCAGGAGAACAGAGCCAAGGGAGCACGCACGGAGCTGGAAGGAGCTAGCCAGGGCCTGGAGGCACATCTAATACATGCCAACACTGGTCAGCTTCTCACAGACTTCAGACAAGGAACAGAATTTGTGTTAGGAGTACAGAAGACGTTAAAAGACCAACTACTGTCAAGGGACCTGCACAGGAAGCTATGTACAACTGCTGCCCATCTGAGTAAGCCAGCCTTCAGATGCCAAACTGAAGTGCAGCTGGTCAGAGTGCTGATCCATAGGTGTCTGCTGGGTCATCCACCCGCAACCTTCCTGGGGCTTTGCAACATTCTAGTGAGGGAGAAGCCAGGTATCTGAAGGCCACTCTCTCACCTCACTTATGGAGAACATTTCTTTACCACTAACCTGAGGCTTCTAAAGTTACTGGGACTGACCAGTGCAAAGAAGTAACAGCTAAAAGCACTGCACAAAAAGTGGCAGCAGCCAGAGGCTGGAGTCCACACTCCTTTCATGTCTCCAGACCAGAAAATCAAAAAGCTGGCATGTCTTGCACTATGCACCTAATTCCCAAAACAAAGGCTCTTGAGTGTTCAAAGAGAAATGGGATAACAACCAGAGGCAATGGCCAATTCCTAAACCAGGACCACCCTTTCTCCACTGGAGACGTAACTGCACTAATCCCTGTCTTCTCACCAGCTCCTTCACCCTAGTAGAGSCGGAAAGCAATCTGGCAGTCTCACAAGCCCAGTCAACAAGCAAAGTTTTCAAGGCATAAAACTCCTCCCAARCAAAGGATGAATGGAGCAGGTTGCTATGTGGGCCACCAAACCAAGACCCACATGGGCCAAGTAGTGCTACTCAGACTCCTACCACAGGCCATGGCTTCTCCTTTCTTGAACTGCAGACACTGTCTTTCCAGAAATGCATACCCTGGAACCAAAGAAACTCTACACAGCTCCTCATCAACAAGGTCCTTCTCTGTTTGACAGCTAGACACACCCTGACATCACTTTTTTTCCTTTCTAAGCAACAAGGGAAGACCTGGTACTGGTCTTGTCCAGGGCCAAGTACCAGACACGGCTCTATCTTGACACCACAGGTTGTTTCACTTAAGACCAACAGGCCATACGGAAACTATCACTAGTGCTACCTCCTTTCCTCTGACCACAGGCTGGGCCCCATCTCTGCTTTGATTTACTACTTCCTCTCCTGTCCCTTCTGAAAGGCGCCTGGAGCAGGCAACCTAGTGGAGAGCACCCCACCCTCCTCGGCACCTGGCATGCAGTGCTGGCAGGCTTCTCCTYTAGGCAGACATGGTAGAAAGTGTATTCACCTCCAAAATTCCTACTGTGGACGTGGCATATACCACCAGAGACAGGAAAGGAAGAGTCCCCAGGCAAAGGAGAAAGGAGGATTCATAGCTTCATAGCACATGATGGTAGCATCAACCTAGGTGGGAATCAAACCAGCCCTCCTACTGGCTTTAGAGCCCACTCTTAAACCCTACACCATGTTGTCTCTGAACTGAGCTGAAAAGCTGGGTAGCAGGGCAAGTAGATCGCTGAGCTTCCGGCCTTGGTATTTAGCCTGGGAGTGAGGGTGCAAAGAGGTTTCAGTAGAGGACTGGGAGGTTAGGGAATCTGATCACACCAGCTGACAAAGTATCTCAACCCACTGGCAGCATGGAAGACACCAGCCATGGGTTGCTTGGGAAGTCTCCACCACAGTGGCTGGAGGGCAAAGAGRATGAGGTATGGAGCGAGAGTGGAGCCAAACAGACAGCATCTGATCAATGACTGGACGTGGGGGGCAACAGGGTTGAGAGAAGCCAGATCTGCAAAAGCCGGACAGCCAGTGCTGATATGCACTAGGCAGGGGGCACTCAGAAGAGGGCCCAGTTTGGGGTTCAAGATCATAAGGGTGGGTGTTACAAACACCAGATCTTAGCATGGCACCTGGCCGACATGGCTCATCATCCAATGAAAGCAACAATACCACACACACCTAGAAGCCTACAGGTTACCAGTAAGAAAACTCCAAGAGCATGGGCGATACACACAATGACATGATGCCACCAATGCTTGTAAAGGACATATGTGCAACACCGTAAGGGGCCAAAACATGCTCTTCAACCAAAGACAATGTCTTCCAACACTTTCTACTTCAAAGAAGTAATAGGCTGGAAACCCAAAAGCCCCCAACATGAGACCCTAGGTTTACTGCCCTCAGCAAGAAGAGCCTGCCACGACCACTATACTCAGAGTTCTAAGACAAGGAAGTGAAAGGGCATAAGCAGAGAAGACTGGGCTCCACTTTGGTCTAAAGTGCATGCTCAAGCTTCAGGAATTTTAAGAAAGTAACATTTCTAGCCCAAACCAGGTGAAACAATTTGCAGAATGTGAAGCTATTACTATGTAGCATACACCACCCTTTAAAGTAGTATCTACTGGTGTTTCCAACATACTCCAAGTGGGAAATACACTGAGCTGTAAGAAGAAACATTTTAAGAAAGAATCCCAAAGCCTAGAATTTATGAGTGTCTTGTATAAGGCTCTACTATCCCTAACAACCCTAACACCCTGAGAAATCCTTCAGTCATTTTAAATCAGCAGAAACCGTTACAGCAAAGCTCATGGTTGAAGTCTTGAAACACAGACACAAAACTGTATGTACAAATATTTTGTTTCTAGAAATCTGGGAAAGTAAAACAAGGCAAAGTGGCCGGGTGAACAGCATCACACCTGAACAACTTCACCTGGGAGGAGTCCAGCCCACATACCCCTCATTGAGATCTGTTCCACACCTTGCTGTTTTTAGGTGCACTGAACTTGCAGAGACCTTTCAAGGCCCTCTTGGGCTGACGTGAGGTGTTCAAAATAAAGACAGCATCTTCCAAAGAACAAGTATACAGAGCAAGTCATTTTTTTTTCTTTTCTTTCCTTTTTTTTTTTTTCACCAGTAGCCAGCATTTAAATGCTTCAGATGATACTCTTTACGTTAATTTCTGCACAGAATTAAAACATAACTTGCAACTTCATCTCACCACCACCACCTACCCAAATCACTTCTAAAGTCACTTTTGGCTAAATTGCATCAGTACAAAAGCCTCATCCTTTAAAAGAGCTTTCTCAAAAGAGAAAAAAAAATTAAGTATTTACCTTCAATTTGACTCGAGTTCCCGACAATACTAAAACACTGAACTCACTTGAAACGCCAAACCTATCTAGCCCCACTTGGACAAWGGGTCCCTAACTTTCCTGCTGGGAAAAAGAAAGAGAAAGTGCCAGTTACCCCTTCCACTGTCGGGGGCAGAGGAGTGAAACTTCAGCACCACGGGAGTCAGCCCCTTTCCAGCACTGACAGCCCCGGGCCGGCAGGCCACTCCTTCCTAAGGGAATCTAAAAAGCCTTTAGAGCACGGCAGGGCCTTGGCCTTCAACCCCATCCCGGAAACGCCGCGCGGCGGCCGCACTCACCCCTGGATGCCGGGGCTGTACGCGCGGCTCTTCCACGGCGTGCCGGGCCGCGGCGCCTGGGCCCCCGGGCCGCCCCCTCCGCTCAGCGCGGCCGCGCGGCTGCCCGACAGCAGGTAGTTGAGGCCGTAGGTGCTGGCCTTGTTCTCGCGTTTCCGGCGGCCGGGATGGAACTGGTGCTGCGGTGGGGAGCCTGCGGGCGCGGGGCCGCGCGGCCCGGAGTGCCCGTTAGCCGCGCCGGGAGCGCTGGGCGCGCCGTCGGCGAAGCCAAAGAAGGCGCCGCCGCGGCCGCCGCCCGCCCGGCCCAGCGAGGCGCTGCTGGAGGACGACGAGGAGCAGCCGGGGCTCTCGGTGCCCGACTCCGCGTTGGACGAGGACGAGGACGAGGACGACAGCGACGGCGACTTGTGCARGCGCCGCGCGCCCTCGGCCGCGGGCCCGAGCGCCGTCAGCAGTGCAGGGGGCAGAGCGGAGGGCCCGGGCGCCGGCGGCGGGGGCGACGCGGCGGACAGAGCGGGGCCCAGGCCGCCGCCCCGCCCGGCCGCCCCCGGCGCGGCCGCCGTGTCCAGCGCCGGCGAGTTGAGGCAGAAGTAGGACGCGAAGCCCGCGCCGCCGCGGCCCACGCCCTGCGAGGTCTCCCAGATCTGCATCCACAGGGCATTGGCCGGCCCCTTCTGCTCCGGCTGGATCCAGGCCACGCGCGGATCCATCCACGCGCCGCCCCCGCGGGGCCCGCGCCGCCGCCGCCGCGGCCCCGCCCCCGCCGCGCCCCGGGCCGCGCGCGGACGGACGGACGGACAGACGGACGGGCCTCGGGGCGCGCGGGCCCGGCTTGGGGCGCGCTCCCGCGGGTGCGGCGGCGGCCGGACAGGCGCGGCGCTCGGCGTTCGGCGCGGCCGCGGACGGCTGCGGCTCTGGCTCCCGCTCACACGGCGCGGGACGGGCGCGGGGGCCGCGGCGGCGGTGGCGGTGGCGGCGTTGCGCTCGGGCAGCGGGGAGAGGCCATCGGAGGGGCGGCGACCGGCCGAGGGGGCGGGCCCAGGCCCCGCGGCGGGACCCGCGGAGGCGCCGCCGCCCGAGCGCCGGGCCCTCGGTCACGCCCGCGCCGCGCGCTCCGTGTTCCTGCAGCGGCGGCGGCGGCGGCGAAAAGACACTGTCGGCGGCGACACGGCGTGGGGGAAGGAGGGGGCCGCCGCCTCCGCTCCAATGAGGGGCGGGGAGGGGGCGGGGGCGGCGGCAGGAGCGAGCCTCCCTCGCCGGGCCGCGGCGCAGTGCGCACGCGCGGCCGATTTCAAATCCTCACTAGACAGCGCCGCCTTGGTTACCGCGCCTGCGCACTGAGCGCCCGCGGCCCGGCAGGGAGGCCGGCGACGGAAGGCTGCGCGACGGGGCGGAGCTGAGGGCTGGAGGGCGGCGGCGGCGGCGGGTCGCTTCCAGACGGGGAAGGGGAAGGGTTGGGCTGGAGAGGAGGCCACGGCTGCCGCAGCGCGCAAGCTAGGCGTGCGGACATGCGCGCGTTGGAATGTGATTCCGGCAGCCGTGGGCCGCGCCGCGCGTGCGCATGACCGCCGCCGCCTGCTGGAAGTTCTTTGCAGCCGGGCACGGGCTGCAGATGCGGTCTCGGCTTTTCCTGTGGCGGGTGGATCATCTCCATGAGTTCCAGTCCCCTCTAGGAAAGAACGAAATCACCCGGCTACCCGCCTGTGTGCGTTAGGGGGCCGTCAGGGTGGTCGCGCTGCGGTCAGTGTTGTCGGCGCCCCCTCCCACGTGCACCCCGCAACGGGACTGGCCGGCAAGTGCCTGTGCGCTGAGCTGCAGGAAGGGACGCGCCTCCGAAGGGCTGCGGCACAAGCCGCCTTCCCGGCAGGTCTGTTGCAGGTGTTTAATTCCCTTTAAAAATTCTTTTTTTTTTTAAGAGAGAATTTTTAATATTTGTTGTTTAGTTCTCTGCGGACACAACATCTTTGTATGTGGTGCTGAGGATTGAACCCGGGCCGCACGCATGCCAGGTGAGCGCGCTACCACTTGAGCCACATGCCCAGCGCCCCCTTTAAAAATTATTTACTGTGCAAAAATAAACTTGCAAATCAGTTCCCCAGGCAGTGTGGACAGTGCTCGGCATTGGAGATGCAACTCCTGGGCCTGCCTGGGCGTCCAACCCGGGAGTTGGTCACACTGGCCAGCACCGAGTTGGCAGCACTCTTTAGGGAACTGCCCCCATCATTTGCCTCCTGGGTGATGCGGGTGTCCAGAGTGAGGGTATCGAGGTTGACAGTGGCATTGTTTGGAATGCAACGCTGACCGTGCGTTCTGTGAAGTCTGAAGCACAGGCCAGTCACTGTTGGTATTTGCTGTGGCAGGCAGACAAGCCTAGAGAGCGCAAGGGCCCTGGTCTCCCACCAATGCAGATCCTCTAAGGTGGCACCTACTGGGGCCCTGACTCTGCCTTGGCCCCACAGCGCCTGGCTCCATCCTTTGGAAGCATAATGGAGTAAGGCCGTTTTAAAAGACAAATCTTAAAAGCTCTCCTTCTTGTCTGCATCACAGATGAACAGATATTATTAATTGCTGGACACTTTAAATATTGCACCAACGTGAAGTCCATGTATTGGTACTAAGGACTTTAGGCGAGTGGTGTTATTTACTACTAAAAATGAATGTTTCGGTTTAGACAGTTTTTAAGCAACTGTATATTGTACATGTGGAAAATATGACCAATTAGAATATGTGAGTTAAATGAACTACAGGAAACCCAGTACATTCTTTGTTAGTTTTGAACTCTGCTTCCAGTAGCTTCAACCAAAATCCTTGAAGTCATACCTGGTTTGTCTGTTGATAACCAACACACTCTTCCACTGGCCAGAAACATCCAGTACCAAACTGCTATCCTCCCGCATCTTTCCCCGTTTCAACTACCACTGTGTGTAGCCTGTGTTAAAACAGTGTCTCCAAGCTGATTTCCCACATTACATTCTTGCTCACTTCAGCATTTACCCACACAAGGACCTGAGTGAAAAAGTGTTTCTTTTTAAAAATTGGATCACCCAAGTCTATTCCAAACCTTTTCATGGCTTGCTTTCTCAGCAAAATATAACAGTCTTCCTGCTACCTATGCAACATTGTGCTGTTGTCCCTCCTCTCCCAGCTCTTTCCCTAACTCAGTCTTGAAGTCACAAGTTGGGCATACTGCTGCCATTACAGGGCCATTACACTTGTTGTTCTCCCTGCCTGGCTGTTCTTCCCAGACATCCTCAGGGTCCCTCCCTTCCCTCTAGCATAATGGCTTCCAAGTGGTTCTATTTAAACTGCACACTTAACATCTCCTACTTCCCTTTCCTGCTGTATTTTTCTCTTAGCATTTATCTCCATTGGTTTCCTGGGACTATTTAAACAAATTGAGTGGCATAAAAGAATGAATTTGTTCCCTCACAGTTCTGGAGACTACAAGTCTGCAATCAAGGTGTCAGCAAGACCACACTCTCTGAAGTTTCTATAGGAGTATCTGTTCATGCTTTCCCCTTAGCCTCTGGTGTTGTTGGCTAAGCATGACACTCCTTGGCTTGTAGACACATCATTCCAATCCCTGCCTCCTTCATGGCATCGTGTTTTCCCCAGCTCTGTCTTTTAAGAACACCATTTGTATTAGATTAGGACACACCAGAATGACATCATCTTAACCAATAACACATGGGGAGACCCTTTTTCCAAATAAGCATTCACAGTCACCAAGCCTAAGGATTTCAACATATCTTTGGGGACATACAATTCTATCCATGAGACTAACTCGTAGTTTATTCTCATATGTATTATCTATGTTCCTGCACTCCAATAAAATGTAAGGGCCACAAAAAAGAAATGTTTCTCCCTTTCTCTGCTGTGTGCCAGCTCCAGGACTGCCTGGCACATGTGGTTAGGTCCTCCATATACCCAGGTGGAATCAGCCAGCTCGACCACTGGGCGTGACTGTGGGCAGCCGCCCTTACAAATCTCCCGGGGTCTGTTGCACAGGTTCTCATTGTCACTTGTCCAACGTTGGGCGCTTCTTCCCTGCTGTCTCGTGCACTGTCTTTGCAGTTTGCCTTCAGCCTACCCCTTTGATTTGATTCTTCAGCCACCAGACAACTTTTTATATTTATAGTCAGAGTTTTATTATTTATATATTTAATCACAAATCTTTTCATGTAAAAGGAGCAATATATTTCTGAATGCAAATCAAGAAACAATATTGAGAGTAAAATGCAGTTCTTGAGACCCAGATCAAGGGTCTTTGCTTATCAATATCTACAGAGAAGCCCAGCAGTTTGCCCTTGGGGCTAATACACACACACACACACACACACACACACACTCTCTCTCTCTCTCTCTCTCTCTCTCTTCCTCCCTCTGATTTTGGAGGAGGGATAAGATTAGACATTACACTATGTTTTTTGAGATTTTTTACCATGGAAAAATGGTTTGCAATGTATATTCCATGGACTACCCATGCGAGAATCAGCTGAACTGGTCAAAATGCAGATGTCTGGAGTTTACCCAATCTACCAAAAATCTACCAAAACTCTTGTTAGGAGCAAGCTCAGGAGTCTAGCTTAAGCAAATTCCCTGAGCGACTCTTAAGTACAGTGAAGTTTAAAAACTTCTGCCTTAACCAGTATTCCCAAACTCAGTAATGTAAGTATCTGGAAAAAATCAAAGTGTGTGTTTATTAGTTACTACTGAGTAACAAGCCACCCTCAAATGCAATGGCTTTACTGTTTCTCAAAGACGACCTCAGTCACCTGAGTTGTTCTACTGCTCAGATTGGACAAGGCCATGGTTGCAGTCATCTGGCAGGGCCGCAGAAGAGGGCTGCCCTAGAGCTACCACACTCTCACATGGCTGGCAGATGGCTGGCTGGCAGCTAGGGTGTCAGGTTCGACGGGCCCAAGGCTAGCCCCAGCTTGTTCTTAGCCTGGCTGAACATGATCTCCAGAAACAAGCAGATGTGCACAGGCTCAGAGCTGGTATCCCTCACTTCCTCAACATTCCCTGAGCCCAAGTGAGAGGCAAGGCCTTGATAAGAGAGCCATGGGGTGTGGAAATAGCCTCCATGTCCTGACTGAAGAAACTGCACGGGGCATGGGAAACTGGACAGGGAATAACTGGGGCTGCATTGTCCGAACCTCTGTCTTCACAAGGCATTTTTCCAGCGTGTCTCTGGGTCTTCGCCTCTTGTAAGGATGCCAGTCATTGGATTTAGGGTCCAACCAAAAACCAGGATGATTTCATCTTAAGATCTTTAACTGACTGCATCTGGAAAGACTCCCATTTCCAAATAAAGTCATATTCTGAGATCGTGGCTGGACTTGATTTTGGGGAGGACACCATTCAACCTACTACCAAAGCCTAAACAAAAGCAGAGGGTCATTTAGCTCACCTTGTAAGAAATTCAGAAATAGAGGTCCAGTGCTCTGGACTGTCCAAGCTGACCTGTCGGTCATCTGGCCTTTGCCCCGTGGCTGCCCTGCCCCAGTGCTCACATCCACACTCAAGTAGGAAGGGGAAACAGGGTGGACGGTGTCCATTGTATGTGACCCTTTTGATTGGAAAAGGGAGACCTTTCCAAGAACCCTCCAGATTTCTCCTTAAATATCCTTGACCAGAACTAGCTATGATGCCACTCCTAACTGCAAGAGAGGCTGGGAAAAGAGGCAGAAGCCAGCTGTACACCTCT